TTGAAACAAAAGGAAATTTAGATTTTTTGCAATAAAAAATCCACTCCCTAGTCGATTTTTTGCAATCAGTGAAATTTAGATACATATGGAAAAATTTTCTCTTGATCATCGATTTATAATTTAAAACAAAATGTAAAACCCAAAATTCATTGCCTTCCATTGAAACACTGAAATTTTTTGCACATTCACAAATGCATGAACTGAGAGAGAAAAAGGAAGGAAGAAGCACACACACCCAGAAAAATTTTTTAAAAATATAGCCACCATTAAAACCAACAGGACAAAGGACAAAGATAAGTGAAAAAATCTAGAAATAAAAAAAAAAAAAAAAAGGCCCTAGCCCAAAAAGGTAGCACATTATGGACGCATTGAAAATTTTCTGATGCGAACAGAATGGCTTTTAAAGTCATTGACAGATTTTTGCAAGGATTACATTTTTATGCTGCTGCGAAATAGACAGAAGCCATAATGTTCATCGCATAGTCTACTATCATTTAATAAGTAGTCATAGAAGTTATGATGCCATATCTGTCTGAGAAATGAAGTAGGGTAAGTAGAATCAGAAATAAGAAATTTCCCTAAAGCAGGAACTCACATTGTCTAATGGGCAAACATTTTTGAAAAAGGTTTATGTTTAGATTAAACCAGTACAATGTTGAGAATTTCAATTTAATACGGTCTGAGAGGCTTCTTTAGATTTCTTATTCTATAGGATATATAATGCCGTACCTAATGTACAAATCACATCTGTCTCAGAAAGAGATTCTCATAAAGCAAAATGTATTATTAACTTTCAAGAATTATGAAATCAAGCAATTTTCAAAAGGATAAAAACTATATTTAAAGGTGTTCATTCAATCGATTTAATTAATTTTAAATCAAATTATTTGAATTAATTGAAAATTTTATTTTAGTTTTAGTGACCGAACCAAAATTTCATATTTGAAAATTAACCAACTAAATTAATTTCAATCAATTTAGATAAATTTCAATTAACCGAAATTTTTTCTTGTCATTGCTTCTGGACTATTCAAACTATATCACAGTGAGGAAGAAAGTTACATTCAGATACTATAAATTATGTAGTTGAACAATTGCAATTGATTACTATTATTATCCAGTATACTTCTAGCCGCCAACAACTGCTCAAGTTTGGCTCTGCTAATAAGCATACTGGTAGAGATATAAGGGTCACAGATAAGTTGTAAAAGAAAATTACAACAATCTCTTTTGGATATATCTTCATCACTTGGGACTGTAAAGTGCTACAAAATTCAAGTTCGTTTGATGTAAGATATTATAGAATTCATGGTGGAGCTTGGAAACATATTTTTTACCTAAATAATATACTAGAATTTCGGTTAATTATTCGATCAATTCGGTTACAAAAAATTAAATTTTATCTAAAATTATTTTCAAAGATCAAAATGATTTAATTCGATGGTCGACTGATTAATCGAATTAAATCGATTTGATCGATTAATTCAATTAAAACCGAAATTTGAACACCCTTAGTTATACCTACATCAAAAACTAGTAACCGGACATCAAGGTTACGGCCACCTTTATAGTCCTCCTGGATTTGCTTCTTTCAAAGTTTTGATGCCTTCCAACGAATCCAACCCAATACAATACTGTAACAAAATCAATATAAAAACAGTAAGCATTATCCAATTACATTAACTTACAAAAAGAAAACTGTAATCCAAATAATTGAAAGTAAAAGATTACCCGCTACCATCAGAAACATCTCTAGAAATCTTCATCTTCTTGGTAGTCCCTTTGTACAAATCCTCCAAACTGCAAGGTAATGTCGTTCAATTGCAGGTCCTTTTCAAGGCTTCAAAAAGTCAGCTGTATTTTGCATTCAATAGTTGAAAATTTTTTAGAAAGCTTCATTATCAAATGAGATCTCAATAGCTTCAAGGTCAAGTTTTTGCCAAAGGCCATCTAAAATTATGAGGATCCTTTTGCCATTATTCAATTGTTGCCATAACCGTATTACTATTCCATTATTAGTTACTTCATAAAAGAAAACAATCTCAAACATTCTAGATTTAAAAAGTTTTTGATCAACAAGTTAAAAAAAAATGAACCAACAAAATGGCAAGTGTTAGTGGCATTGGAATAGCCTAAGATAGTTTGATCTCCTCATTTTCACCCTATGGCTTCATTTTTTACCTTTTCCCCTTTTTGCTTTCCCTGAAAGCATTCAAAGCTTTCTTTAGTGAGTAAAAGAAAGAAGAGGAAGAAAAAGAACAAAAAATGGAAATCCTCTCTCACCCACCCCTCTGCCATTGTTTCAAATAAAAAAAGAGTTTACACGCAACCTCTCGCATTTTTTCAAATTAAAAAAAATGAGCATACACGCAACCTTTGACACATGCAAAAAGAGATGCGAGAAGAAAAAAAGAAACACCAACTGTGATACCCAACTTACCTTAGGAGTTAAGATATTGTCAAAATGAGTTTTTTTTTCTTTCTTTTTTATGTTAAAATTACATTTTTTACGTGAGAAACATGATTTTTGTGGTTCAAAAATTGTATTTGTAATATAAAAAATATAGTTTAAACAATTTTTAATATCTAACTTTTTTATTTATTATCAATCACTTTTTTTTAATAAAAAAAGGTGATCTTTCATAAATTATCAACCAAATTTATAAACATAATTTTTATTAGCAAACATTACATTTTTAAGTATTATAAATATATTTTTTTTCTAAATCACATCAATTATTATGTTTCCCACATTATAAATGTAAATGATATGAAAATATTTATATTATTTTATTATTATTTTAATTGATTTACTATATTTTAAATATAAAAAAATGTATCTTTTTTTCAAATATTTTTATAAAATAAAAAAATGCCTAAAAAATAAAAAACTAAGGAGAACTAACAAACAGTCACATGGCACCCCCAATTAAAAATCTTGTGCTCCGTACATTTGCAAAATATCTTATGGATGGATAAAAGAAAATAAAAAAAAGTAAGTAAACAATCAAAACAAATTAAATAAGGAAGAAGAAATTTAAAACATAAAAAAAAAAAAAATGGAGGATGTGCAGGAAACAAAATGAGAAGAAATAGAAAGATTGGTTGACGTGGATCAAAATAAATCAATTTAAAAAGAGAAAAGCTAAAAAAAATTAAAAAAAAAGACAACTGACGTTGATAGGTTGAGAACTCACCAATTCTTATAAAATTAATAGAATGGATTTACAAATTTTCATAAAAACATCATATTAAAGCATACTTTCAATTTTATAATAGGAAAAGCATAGGAAATTTTTAACTAGTTACAAATTTATCTTTATTGAACTTTGTAAAATTTTAAACATGGAAAAAAATTTGTTTGTCAAAAATTTTATGATGAAAAAAGAAACTGCATTAGGAACCTCATCATGGGAATTTACTTAGTTATGCACTATTTGAGCAAGAACATCAGGACACTCTTCAACGATATACTATCCTCTTGATTTTGCAGACTAATCTTTGCGAGAGTATGAGCAGCTGTCTCATTACACGCGAAAGTTGTGAGCTTTGAAAGCATTTCAGCCACTACCTAGCTTCTTCTATGATCTTACCTACAGGTGATAAGTCCTGAGCTGTAGACTGAATCCTCCTTGTAACTCCCAAGCTGTCTCCCTCCAGTACGATTCTAACAAATCCCTATCTTTTGCAAATGGCAAAGCCTTGAAAGCAGCCATTGCTTCCACTTTGAAAGGATTGTCGACCTCCTAAAGCAAAAAGGATGCTGCCCCCAGCACAGCACCAATCCAGTCCCTGGTCACCACTCCTATCCAGCCCCTTCTGTTGGATAAATTAATCAATTCCGCCTTCAAATTTAATTTTTCACCATACCAAAAACAGGCGGTAGCCATATTTGAGTGTTCATTAACAAGGTCACTGGTCTCACTTGTGCCTCCTTAAATTCTTGCATATATCTCCTAATATGAACTTCTAACGCCTGCGGTGTTCTTGCTTCTTGATCATGTAATACACAGTTTCTTTCCTCCCATGAAGCTCAAACTGTTCTCACGAACAAAGAAAATTTTTCATTGTTTAGAAAGGTGCATGCTTACTTTATCCTGCTCGGTGTGTCAGATAAGTTGCCATCAAATCCGAAGACATCTCCAAATTGCCTCCAAACATTATTTGCGTATGTACAAGATTTGAGAGCGTTAAATTTTGACTCATCCACCATATCGCACCTGATGAAGCAAATCTAGTTAACATTGATAAAACGCTTGTTCAGATTTTGCATAGTCGGTATAATTTCATGAAAAACTCTCCAAAGCAGCACTTTAATCTTGCTCGGAACCGAACCTCCGCTGTCCAAATTCTTTTCCAAACAGGTCGACTGGTCTCCTCCCCTAAGCCATCATTCTCACAGGGGGCTTTATAAGAACTTTTTACTATGTAAACCCCTTTATTTTCATAGTGACATATTAACATATCGTGAGAACCCAATTTACTAATTGGAATTGCACATATTGTGTCCGCTTCATTTTGTGAAAACAATTCTAGGACAAGCACTCTTCCACCTTAATGTATTAGGATCAATCAGTTCTTGCACAAGGCAATTTTCTTCAAGTTCCCTCTCGGATATTGAACCAGAAAAGGCCATTTCATTGGGATCCACTTATCACCCCAGATCCTAATTTGCTGTCCATTCCCTACCCTCCAGCGCAGTCCCCTTTCCAATACCGCTCTAGCTCCCCAGATGCTACGCTATGTCTGTGAAGGATTGTTTCCAAGTGCAGCTTCCCAAAAAGTGCAATGAGGGAAATACCTGGCTTTTAGAACCTGGTGTACGCCAACCAATCTGTCCTTGTTAGGAGTCTCCTACCTTGTTTGCCCAACATAGGATAAAAATAATTTAAACACAGGACCCACATTCTCATTTGCAGGAAAATAAAATGAACATTAAGAGCATTAAGTACCAATAAATTTTTTTAATGATAAGTTATAATTATATTGTAAATTTTATTTGATTGGTTCTACTAATATTAGTACATTTCTTCATATTTTATTTTATTCAGTTAATTATATTATCACAATTACATTTGAATATTTGGTTCAATACTATCTTAATATCTCCTCTTTCAAAGGTAATACACATACGCGGGCTGAGAAATCCATCAGACACAGGCAGCAAGTTTCCAAACACTATTCCCACATTTTCAACTATATTTCTTTCCCCTTTTTGGGTGAATGTTACAATGTATTTTCTAAATTGAATCTTGCGGAATGTAAGTGTCCTGTCTTTACAAATGCAAAGCTGGAGTGAGATGTTAATATATACAGCAAAAAAAGGTTACAAAAATGGCAAAATCTGCAAGCCCTGAACCTCAACATGCTGCACTTGAAAAAATATTGGGTATGGGAAAAACTCTTGCATCATACACATTACCAATGCCCAAAACAGCAGCAGATACTGCAAGCTGGTTTGCTCCTATCATAAAAATTTGATTCCATTAAGAAAAGCTAATAAGTTGATTTTGCAGCACTGTGCCCTTCTATAACTTGATTCCCACTTCCAGCGCAGCTGCCATTGAAGCAGATGCCTCTTCAAGGGTTCGCTTCTTTTGAACCGTGTTGAAGGCCTCAAGAATATCTCCTTCCTGCCATTCATCATAGTCATCCACTCCGATACCGCACTCCAAACCAGCATTTACCTGTTCAGAAGAGAGATACGGTGTCCATCCATTATAGAAGAAAGAAATTATCGTGACCATGTCAACTAAACAAGAAAGCAAGAACTATCTCTCCCTAAATATCTTCAAGATTCAACACTTGAAACATTCATCAACCACGTAGATTAGTAAAATAGGTGAAAACATATTAATGCTGGTACAGCCACTTTGCACGGCATCAAATCATAGACATAATATCTCTCCAAAAAAGCATCTCACAACATGATCTAGAAGAATAAGCCCACAATCCAACTTTCTCAAACATTAAACCTTCTACAACACAAAAGCCTCCCATAAACATATCTCAACATAAAGAAACGGATTAACAAAACCAAGGTGAAGGGAAAGCCACTGGTTCTTACATTAGATAAATCAGGACATAGAATGTATCATGAATAGGATCAGTACAAGTGAAAAACTACAGAGAAAAGCTGTGCCATAATCCAATATTTAAGAAGGCTTTTATTTATATCAAGCTCCAAGGTGCAACATACTATCTGTTTCAACCAATTAATAAGTTCAAACTCAAGTCCTTATCTTCCTATCATTTATCCCTCTTGAATACAAATTTCTGCACTCAAGAACAATGATCTCAAGACAAAGTTTAGAAAATGAAGGCACAAAAGGAAACCGGGATGTGATGCAGAAGGGAAGGAAATTTTTACAATATTATTCATTTGGAAGATTTGATTAGAATAAAAGCAAATTAATCAAAAGAAGCTCTGCCTGATGCTAACAGATGCATCTGTTGTTGCTAAATATCCTAATCACAAACTATACTCAAAATCCCATGAAATTGCAAAATTAGAAAGATAAAATTAATTCAACATAAAAAAGGTCCTATTTTGTCGAAAGATTAAACATTAATAATTTCCAATTATTACGGAAAATAAAGTACTAGTAAACAAAATACAGTGAAATAATTGTCAATCATATCATTCATTAGAGATAGAAAAGGCAACTGAAATGAACAGCCAAACCAAAACATAACTCGATTCAGTTTACAACTTCTGAATTCCTTTTTTATACATTTTTTTTTTTTGGTCTAGAAAAAGTCCCACAAGTGCACATGAAGGCAAACACTTTCAACCATAAATGCAACCAAACATGTAGACAATTTGCAACCTACGTATTATCCTTCTAATCATTCAAAATTTCATCTGACAATCATCATCTTCTTAGAAAATTGTCAACACAAGTTATTATCTTTACAAAATAAACCTTACCATGTTTTGAATTGTCCAAGATGGAAACAAGTGCAACCATAGAATTCAATATTCTGTTCATCACACTACTCAGCGAAACTTACTACTCAAATATATATCGATCTCTGATTTAATTATTCGACATAGAATAACTTCTGCTTGCAGATCTCTTTATGTGCAATTTGATCTTTTATTTTGACTAGTTCTTTTTATCTATGTGTCACATAACTAGGCAGAACATCAAATCCTCCCAAGCACAATTATTAGATAATTTACACAATTACTTATCTGAAGTCCCAATAAATTAGCAGATACACATAAGCAAGACAACAAAGAAACCAAAATACTGGAAGAACATGCATCGAAATGTCAGATTACAGAATAAAGAGGAGGGTTGGGGATGGGAATGCAAACAGAGAAAGAAGCCATCCTGGCAATCAACATTATACCTCTTTCACAATTTCCTTAACCCTTCGCAATGAATCAAGAACACTGACATGGACGGTGCGACCATTTCGAATGACATGAATGCCACAACCATTCACCACCTTTCCTTCTGTTACCATACATCCAGCAACACGACCACTGCCACTTCTGAAAACAACCCGAACCTCTGCAATGCCAATTGGTACTTGCTCCTATCAACAGAGAAGCAGTAACTGTCAACTCTGAATCTTTAACACTGAAATCTAAAACATACTGAAGGAAAAGCAGGGACATGACCCAAGAATTTAAAGCCTGTGAGTTCCAAGGTTACAAGAGATCAAACTACATTCAATGTTTAAAGCAGTGTACAAGAGACTATACAAGAACAGTGAAAAGAAAAAAAATATATCAAAAAAAGGTGAGAGTGAGAGAAGGATCAATGTCTACTTCTACAGACATTCAACAAATTAGAGGTAAAAGACAATGGTCAAAGTAATTGAGGAAAAATATGACTACCAGGGATTTGAAGATACGTTGCCATAGATGGTAGTAAAAATATTGTAGAAGCATGCATGTAGCCCATTCAGGCAATTAGAAGTAAAGGCTTCTTCAATGAATTAAGAACAGAGAATTCAAAAGGAGACTATGTTATGAAATGGATAAACATTTTTCCTCCATATCCCTCTCTTTTCATTTTCTATTCTCCCAAACAAGGGCCAGGTCCTTTCCTTCCCCCCTTTCTCCTTCATTCTTCCTATTCCCCTAAATCCATATATATTTTGACTTATTGAACGATATGGAATGCCAAACAGCTTGATATACTCAGTCCACCCACAAGACATCTACAACCCCAATATCAAATTAAAAACATTTAAACATTAGGCTAACCTCAACAGGCTCTAGGAGTCCTTCCATTGCATTCCTCACATCATCAATAAGTTCATAGATAACTCTGTAAAGCCGAATCTCAACACCTTTATTTTCAGCATAGCTCTTGACAGAACCTGGTGTCTTCACATTAAATCCCAAAATAATGGCCTTGCTAGCAACCGCAAGATCAACATCACTAGTGCTTACATCTCCTGTTGCTTCCAAGAGAAACTTCAAAGTGACATTGACTTGTGGGAGCACCTGCAATGCTTGTCTGACAGCCTCTATAGATCCCTAGTTGTGAAAACAAATACAGTTTAGCAATTATAATGCTCATTGGAAATAGATAGGAAATGTCAACAAGAATGTTCAAAGATGTCATTTCTTTCCATGGAACCAGCACCACAGCAAAGGCACCAAGCATTAGACTAATATGTTAAAAATGCAATAACAAGATGAAAACTGGCTATTTTCTGAAACGATGATAGAGTTTGAACTGCCAAAGACAAGATTTTTTTTTTTATTTTTTTTCTCAAACAAAGACAATTTTTTTAGTACATAAAAGAAGAAATGTTAATTGACTATATGCTAATGTTTGGCCCATATAATTCAATCCTCCTATCACATACGTCCCTATGCTCGCTATTCTTAGCTTTTTAACTACCATCACAGGGAAACAGCCTCTCTTTTGGCCCCATGTCAGTCTCATGCAATTTAAATGAACCCAATGTGCCTCATTAATCTTTATTGGTCAACGATCACACACAAATTATGGTGCAATTCACACAGATGGCTTACGGTGCATATTTGCTTCCTCTCACAAAATTTTATATAACTTGTACATACCAACAGCATCTTTTTTCATTCTCTTCCCCCTTTTCCCCCAACAAAAGGATGAGACCTGACCAATAACCTTTTAGCAGCAGCATCATCATGTACTCAATAGAAAGGCCAAGCCATCCAGATGCATTTTTAAAATTTCATCATAATTCAAATTAATAATGTTATGAATGAGATAGCCTGGCATTTTGTTTTCCTTTCTATAAATCTGATGCAAATACCTGTAAATCAACCTTCAAGATAATATTGAGCTGATGCAAGTCTAACCCAGAAAACTTTCCAGCTGACACAGCAGAAGCTAAAGAAGAAAGTGTGACCTTTCCATCCCCAGCCTTGGCCGACATACGTTCATTTCGCAACTGCTCAGCACATGCCTCTGCCTTTTCACGAGCAACATCAAGGGAAGCAACAACCTCAAATTCATCACCAGCAATTGGAACATTATTCAAACCGATGACCTGAAGACATACACACAGATCTCTTAGGGGAAGTACTAACCCTTAAGTAACGGTATAAAAATAGAACCAAACAAAGCCAATGTATGGACACCATGAAACAGATATTCAACAAAATGATTTAAACTTGCTCCTGGTTAGTTTCAAAATATGTAGGCAACATAAAACTAAAAATGATACATTCTGCATGTTATTGAGCTCAGAAAATGCCACTTCATGAAGAGTATACACCAAATAATAGTGCATGTCATCTTCTTTTATGTATTTTCCTATTCAAAATTTTCTCCTCTTCTCTTCATGGGCCTCGAGGATGATTGGAATCTTGTTAGGAGAGAGAAAAAGACAAACTATGGGTAAAGCCCATAAAAGATACAGTATAGCCTAAGTCATCACCCAAATGCTTTAGGAAACACCTTAGATGAGTACCTAAACGAGTCATTAATCAGAGAATCTTTCAATTCTCAAATTAGAAATTGAAAATTCCTAAAAGAAAAAAGATGAGGGGGCCCAAGCAGTTTATTATTGATCAATTATGATTTGTCTACTCATTGTCCAGAAGAACTCTTAAATAGCCAACTGCTAAAGTTAATGCTATTTGTCATCCACTAAAATTCATGTTTAAAATTATCACCATCAATTAACACCAATTTTGTATTTTGAGGTTACCTTAATGAACAATTTCTCGTCTTAGTTATCATGTTATACAAAGTCCATGTATAAAGAAAATACATTTTACTTACATCTATCAGAAATATCATCTTTCTTTCATAAAATCAACAGATAATCAAGGTGTTCCATAAATGATGTAATTTTAACTAGTTTCTTTATACTTGACTTCTGCAAATAAATACAAGAAATGGAAGAGAATCTACAAATAACTTTTCAAGTCAGAAGGCCCATAGTCATTAGACCCTATGTTTATGATTTTTCTAAAGGCTTGTGAGGGCCAATTGAAAGGGCAGGGAAGAGGATAAGAGATTTCCCACCTTCACCCAACACCATTTCAACTAACTCAGCTGAGGTTATTGTGCTATGGTATCCATCAATTTTATCTAGACTACAATTATAATGCTTAACAGAGATGTACTTAGCCTCATTAAACCAAAAACATAAAATTTCAGGCTATAGATGAGTTCACAAAGACTAAGTTCCTGTTTTAGCCTCAACTACATTCATACATTTTCTATTCACATGACAGATCTGTGCTGATAAATTAACATGATTATATACCCTTTAGCCTCATAAGGATGACCTTAGATAATCATGATAATATAGGAATGTGGGAGCTGAGCAAAAAATCAAACTGAAAAATTAGATATTAATTTTTTTTTTTAAAAAGAAGGTGATTCTGTGATTCCTATTTAAGATAAAGGTGGAAGGCAATGCTAGAAAGGGGGCAAAGAACGTTGTTGTTTCTCTTTCTGTTGTTTTGACAGCCTAAATACAGACAACTTTTAACAATCTAACATCACATGTGTCACTAATTTCCAACTACAAGGGCCACAGAAGGAAATCAAGCTGCATGTCAAAATGTTAACTATTTTGTAACAAGTCCAACAATCAGTTGAATGTCTGTGCTCAACTTAGAGCAACAGGTTTATTAGTATGTTTCAAGCCAACAATGAAAACTACAGTCAAAGATGGCAAGACAGATATGTAAATAAGAAGAGAAACATAATAATTTGCTAACTTGTATGGGTATGGAGGGTCCAGCCTCATCAACACGGTTTCCACTATCATCGAACAAGGCACGCACCTGATCATGGACATAGTGGAAAATCCCCTCAGAGATGGCTTCACAAAATTAAGCATTTATGCCATATAGTACGCAGAGATTTCATGTTAGAACAATCTAGAGTTAGACTCCAATTTACCAACCTTTCCAAACGCTTCTCCACAAACAACTACATCCCCTCTTTTAAGAGTTCCATTCTGCACAATAAAAGTAGCTACAGGTCCTTTAGATTTATGAAGACCTGCCTCAATAACAGTTCCTTTTGCATTTCGATCAGGATTAGCCTTTAACTCTTGTAACTGTAACAATCAGGATGAAGGTCATATTGCAAGTAACAATAAGCAAGACAGATACATATTTATAGTTAGACACAAAAAACTCACTTGTTATTTGAAATATTTCACCAAAGATATTACAACTTAGACGTAAAATCATATTGAACTTTTAAGCATTGGTGAAACTTTTTTTGTTTTTCAAAATGTTTTGCCTCAAAAGTGCCTAATGGCATCATTAATTGGTCAAGTTAGTAGAATCCGAAAAAGTTTATAAGTAGAAGGAAAATAAACTACAGAGAAAATTCAAAATTATTTGAAAACTTAGAAAGATAAGGAGCCAAGGTTCTCATAACAGCCAAAACTAGTAACAAGCAAGATTATATGTGCTTGATACAGGAAGGATTTCAAAGCAAAATGATCCAGATGCAGGAAAGCCAATAATAGTACACACCTCAGCAACTAGCATAACAGTCTCCAATAGATCATCTATATTCTGCCCTTTGAGAGCACTGATCTGTAATAGCAGATGCAAAAATATAAGCATCCACAAAGCACATGAATCAACAACGAAGATGCATATATGATATATCATTAAAGAATAAAACCTGAACCATAGGGATGTCACCACCCCAGTCTTCTGGCATCAGACCAATTGAAGAAAGCTCTTGCATGACTCTTTCTGGGTTAGCTCCATCTTTATCTATCTGTTACAGAGGAATGAATAATATTAGCAGTATCTCAATAACAAGACTTGGAGCATTGGCAACCACCAGAATTTTCTCGTAGAGTAGACTCACTTTCTGATTTTCAGAACAGATTACATTACTATCAACACACCTTATTTATAGCAATGACAATCGGTACTTCAGCTGCCTTAGCATGGGCTATGGCCTCATTCGTTTGAGGACGGATCCCATCATCAGCAGCTACCACAATGACCACAATGTCTGTCACCCTTGCTCCACGAGCTCTCATTGCCCCAAACGCCTACATGAATGCATATGGTAGATGTCATCAAAGACCAATATGATGCAAGCAAGTTACAGTTAAGAATTTACTCTATAACAGCATTATTGTCAGAGGTTATTAGTTGCTGAAGTAAGTAACAACAAATTCAAAGGGGATGCAAAAGCTATTCCTAGTTGATGAAGAACTTTAAAATTGAAAGTTCCTAGTGATTATTTTACCTCATGTCCAGGAGTATCTAGAAACACACACGGTTGTGGCTTGCCATCAATTGGTACTAGAACCTTATATGCTCCAATTCCTTGTGTTATACCACCTGCTTCTGAAGCAGCCACCTGTAAATATCCAGCAATCAGGCATCAGTTGGATAATTCATATGTTTTGCTAGTTAGTAACCGCAAATAGCTTTCAGTATCAATTAACTTAATTGTTAATTATTTTTGAGCAGAGAATCATTCTATCACAAGCACACCGCCTTGAAATGAAAAGAAAAGTTCATGCAGAATAAGTAAATCCTACGACCTGAAAGTTTCCATTAATTTCAGATGCAAAATAAATTCATAAGGACCATTAGACTGATCAAAGTTCCACACACCTTGCTCTTTCGAATAAAATCCAGTAGAGTTGTCTGCCAAGCATAAATAACCAAAATACACATTAGTAAGTCTACTGTTTAAGATAAGATTCTTTCTTCTTCACTTCAAATTGAAATAAAAGAACAGGAGGAATTCTGTATACAAAAAGATTACAACTAACCTTCCCATGGTCAACATGACCCATTATAGTGAGAACAGGAGGTCTGTCTTTTAGCTTATCTAGGTCGTCTTCATCGAGAATTTCCTTCTTTTTTGCCATTTCTTCTACCTTTACAGGATCAGCATCTATGACTTCCACATCATACTCCTTACAAACCATCTTCACCATGTCTTTGTCCAAAGTTTGCACTCCATCTGGCTTAATCCCCTTGGAGTACAGATATCCAAGAATTTCCCCCTCACCAATGGCCAAACTGTAGGCTAACTCCTCTATCAACATGCCTTTTTCTCCAACCTCCAAAATTTCCACTTTAACAGGTGCTGCCTCTTTGGCAGCCTGGAGTCTAGCTGCCTTTCTACTAGCTTTACTCCATTTCCTCCCTTTCCTTGCAGCAGCACCAGGTATTGACACATTTAATTCTGATGTCTCCTCATCTGGAATTTCAAGATCATCATCATTAACAATGCGCCTCCGTGGACCTCCAGCAGAAACATTTTTCTTGCGATAATCATCCTTGAACTTTCCAGAGGCAGGGCCCTTCCCTGGCTTTGTAGGGGCTAATACAGCTTGATCAATAATAGGGTCAACCACAGGCTTCTTTGATGCAAATTTATCAATCAGAATAGGCTTTCTTTCTTTACTCTTCCCATCTGAATCAACTGGTGACTTTTTAGCTGCTCCAACATCTTTCAAAATAACCGGCTTCTTCACCCTAGGTGGAGGCGCTACAGATGGCTTAGCTTGTAACTTAGGTTGAGGTCTTAAAGGTGGCTGTGGAGGTCTCAAAGGTGAAGCAACACTCCCACCTTGAGACTCCACCTTCCCCACTCCTCCTCCTCTTTTATCATTATTATTAACCTTAGGAGGCTCCTTAACAACATTTTGCACAGTCGCAACACTATCCCCTTTCCTCCACACACTCTTCAAAGACACACTCTTCAAAGACTTAGCCTTTTTACCACCACCCGAACCACCACCATTACTACTTGCTTTAGCTTTATTTACATTCACATTCACATTTACATTTGAAGTTTCCAACTTTTCAGCTTTCTCCAATACTTCACCCAATGACTCAATCACTTTATTTCTCTCATTTTGTTCTTCATACTCATCCTCATCCTCACCCTCACTTAATTCAACATCCCAAGACAAACCCTTTTTGTTTTTCGCCTCCTCGGACTTTAAAACCGGCTTGGGGGCAGGTTTAAGAACAATTTCAGCATCAGTATCTTTATAAGAAGAAGAGGAAGAAGCATCGTTTGCCTCAGCAACAAAATCAGTGGTTGCCACAGAGTATTTACATTTACATTTCCTACTAAAACTCCTTTTAGACAATGAAACTCTTCTAATACAAGAATAATAAGATGACGAAACTGGTTCAGAGCAATAATTAATGAAAGTAGCATTAAGAGTTCCCAAATTAACAAGGGAAGCTAAAGAAGAAGACATTGTTCCTACAACTATTACCATTCTAAGCTAAATTTGGTTCATCAGAATTAGGAGAAAAAGGAAAACGAAAAGAAACCAGAACAACAAAACCAAAAATCTTACCTCATTTCTTTGTTTCAGGGAATTGGGCAAAACAATAAAATTGTGAGGTGGTGCTTACGGGTGACGGGCAAAGCTAAAAAACAAAGGGGTCTGGTCTGGGTCTGGACATATTTGTGGGTAATGTCATGTGTGGCTGATTCTCCTCCTGTCAAATTTTTTTTCTTGGTTTTTTTGTGATAAGGCTGGTTTTCTTTTTCTTTTGTTAACAAGAAAAAAAAAATCTACCATTGTTTTTGGCTCACAATAAAAATAAAATTAGAAAAATTCTTGCTTTTCTATAATTTATATATATATTTTTTTTGGGAAGGTTGTTTTTGAGGGTTGAAAGTGATTTCATATTTGATAATTCGTATTTTTATATAATATTTTATCTCGTATTTGATATATATAATGATATTTAATATTAAAATATGATATAAATTATAAAATATATTTAAATTTTTTACATGAATACAAGACATTTATTATACAAATTATACTTGACACAATATGATTAATATGTGTAAAATCAATTCATTTAAACATATTACAAATAAATATGAATATCACATATACATATAAATAAATATGATTAATTCGAATACATATAAAAATATAATTAAAATAATAAATAATTATAAACTATCTATTATTTATAACTTAATAAATTTGATATATTAATAATATAAAAAATACTTATATATTAAAAAAAACTTTAATACCCATTTAATATATATTTAATATATATATATAAATTTTAATATATATTGCACGACTACATTAATTTTTAGTATCAAATTTAAAATGATATACTATTAAAAATTAAAAAATAAAATAATAATATATAGGATTAATATCAATATTTATCTTTATATTTATATTATTAATATAAAAATAATTTTATAATAATTTTTAAATGAGTATCATAATTAAATGTTTAAAATAATTTTTAAATGATATTAAATAATTAATTAAGTATTACAATTAAAAGATTAAAAATTAAAATAATTTTTACATGTTTATATTAAATTAAAATAAATATAAAAAATATGTTAAATGTATTAAATATATTAAATGTATTAAACATGTTAAACATATATTAGTATAATAAAATTAAATCAAATATATTATTCATATCATATCACTTATTCAAACGAATTATATCATACCAAATTCTTATCGACACGAATAAATACGAAACATATTTTTTTAAATACATATATAATTATTTTATATCATATAATCATATTATATCTTAAATTATCAAATTTATTTCATAGTCCATCTCAAATAATTCTCGAACTTGGTGTCTAATTTTGATTATAGAAACTTGCTGCTCACATGATTTTTGAAAGAAACTAATTAATTGAAAACCAACAAAATAAAATCCTATAATTGTTTTTTTATATAAAATTTTCATTGGAAAAAACAAGATTTGAATTTTATTTTTATTTGAAAAATTAAATTTTATTTTTTCAACATGGGATAAATGCATTTAGCATTTGAACGATTTTGGGTTACAAAGTAAATGAAAACTTTTTTTTTTCCATTTATAAATGGTAAACCTAATCTCAATATTCAAAATTCAAATAATCCGAATTTTTAAAAGAAAAAAATGAAGGGTTCGTAAATAGTATAAATTTTAAAAGTAAAATTTTTATGTGTTTTATTGGAATAATTTCAGTCATTGTTATTTTTAGATTATTTATCATTTTCCATGTCATTATTTATAATTAAAATAATACAAAAATATCTCTAAAAATGTTTATAAAATAAATACTCACACAATTATTGAAAAGATAAAAAATTTTGGACTTGGCACAATAGATATAGTTTTTGAGCCCAAGATGAATGAGCTCAGCTCACAACAATAGATTCCTAAATCAAAGGGTTGATTTGCTTAATCGAAGGAAAGGTTCTCTGAAATCAAGATTATGGGTTAGGGCTTAATGGATGGTCCATTATTTCAAGATCAAGCTCTTCGGCCATGGCTTAATAACAGGACCATTTAGATTACGAATTTTGGACTTGACTTGGTTGCAACCAACAATGGACCTATAAGATCGCACTTTCTTTCATATCTTGATTGGGCTTATTACTATAAACATTTCTCTATTTCAAAAAGGTTTAATTTTCTTATTCTCAACCCTTTCTTTTTTTTTTTCCCCTTTACCTTTCATTTTTTTTAAAGATTACTAAGAATAAAAAAAAATTATAAGCGTCGAAATTTAAATTTCAAATTTATTAAATATTATCTCTTAAAATTGACAGCATAAATGAATGAAACTAAGTTTATAATTTTTTTTTTTTTAATATGATTGGAGTTAAAATTCAAAACCTTCAACTTTAAAATCAATTTCAATATTATTGAATTAACAGCTCATCAATAACAATTTCTCTATTTTTTATTAAAACAATTTCTCTATTTTATGTCAGCAAAATGATTCTTTATTTAGAAATTGAAATTCCAATTTGGATGTCAAAGTTTTAAAATTGGAAAAATAAGAGGGCCGTAGTTTGTAGGATATATAATTAATTATAATTAATTAGAGATTTTTTTTTATTGAGAAAGTAAAAATTGAATCTTTATTATTAAAATTAAAATTTTAATATTTTATTAATAAATCATATGATTGTTGACTAATTCTTGTAGTACATATTTTTTATCTAGAAATCATCAAAATAGTCCCTTGAAGTACAAGTGCGATGCATGTGTTTCACAGCCTAACTACTGTGTTTTCCATGAAAGTGCTAGGTAGCTAGCTTTCGGTGATTTGAGACAAAAGAATCCCCGATAGAACACTCCCATAAAAGCCTTTTCAACGTGATTTGCATGATCACTCTTTTGGATTATACCTATGGCTTCTCCAACAGTTTACTTGCTTTGAAAGTAAAATTTCGAAAAACTTTTACCCTTTTTTTATAAATATGAAGAACTATTAGGTTTTGTAAGATTGTCCATCACTTGAACTTGGCTCGAATATTCTCCAATTTAGAGGGAAAAACGTCATCACTAGCACGAAAACTAATGGACATGCTTTCTTTTCGTTTCTTTTTCGGAATTGATTAACCAATGTGTCTATACTTGCATGTCTTGTTGAATAAACAGGACGATTAAGTTCCTATTACTCATTTTCTAGCTGGAAACAAACATTTACTTATTAATTGTAGCCATTGCAGAATCCATTAGTTGCCAGCTTATTTGATTGACTTAGAAAATTTTTCTTCTTGTCAACATTCTAAGGATGATCCGTGAATATATTTCCTCTCAAACCTATGAAACTTTACTCCAAATTTCAATCAGTGTCCTATATACCCTTTAAATATTTGGACTATAGTCCTGAATCATATATAAATTTAATCTTACATCTTACACAATGTCATCTCCTAATTATAAGTTTGTTGTCTTATTTTTCTGTGCAAGTAGCAGGAACATATCACTTATAATTATTACGTTATAGTTAACCAATTACAATTCAAAATTGTTTGAGATTTATCAAAATTTTAGATAAAACTCATACTTAAAAAGTGATGGATTTCTGCATAATTTTTTTATTGTGATGGACGATTTAGGATTATAGTAAAAAGATTTGTAAATAAAATGCTCTCGTATAGATCGTGACCACCAGACAATGAATATGCTCTTTGGCAAAAATTTCCACTACTAAATCTTCAAATTTAGTGAATTGTATCAAAGATTGTTTCCTATCATATCATGTTTGTTGTGTCTAAATGACTGGTTTGAAAGGGGTTCTTATTTTAAGCTAACATCAAAATGTCAAACTCCTCAACATTTACCAATAAGCAAACTTTGACATGACATTTGGAAAACACAACTAATTATCGGCTGCAAGAATCACAGGAGCATCAGTAAACTAAAGCCTCAGGACTAGATGGGGTTACTACACTAAGCGGCTTCAATAATGGTGATATGCTATGAAGTTTGAGGATTGATCATTTGTCCTGGAAAATTATTTTTATGGAGGTTCACAATATCAGTGTCAAAATGTAGAACTGTTCATTTGGTATAGATGAAAGGCAGATCAGGAGTCTAATTCAGTCACGCATGACTGCAATGTTATTGCAGCTAAAACAGAAAAAGAGAAGTTACACGTATTCTAATGTAAAAGTCCAGGAATCCCGTTATCGCTCAACCAAAAAATGGAAAATCTTTAGGGTTGACATTCCAATAGTAAATAAATTGTTTTAGCATGTAAGTTAAAGCAGTATCTTAGGGTTGACATTCAAATTAATAGTAAATAAATTGTTTTAGTATTTAAGATAAAGCAGTAAGTTGACTCAGCCTTTTATCTTGGCAAAATTTTGTTCCCCATGGCATAAGATCATTAATTTCTCTAGTTTGGTTATAGATAGTCCTTTAGGAAGCAATTCTGAAAGGAAGAGGGAAAGATTGTTAGACTGTTAGTTGAAAATCTTTTCATTTTGGACAAAAGGAACGGAAAAAGAGAAAAAGCACAAGGGAACAGCATGCACTTGCTTTATTAGTTTCCTGATTCCTGACCCTAGAGACAACAATTTTAAAATTAAAGGGGGTTTCAGTTTCTTTCCATGGAAAAGAAAATGAAGATGTACAACAGATTGTTCCCTCCTTAAGCATGACATGGATCGATAAGAAATTTTAACCAACTCCATTTTCGCATGCAGCTGATGGAGACTATATTTAGAAAATCTTCAACAATCTTTCCTGCAAAAAAAGATTGTTATATATCTCTGAGATGACTAGCGTGACTGCATTCATCAGAATGTTTTGATATTTGAAAAGAAAATGTGGTTCCAAGACCCATGAAATTGACTGCATCAGATTTAGTAGATTTGCATGATCTTCACATATATCCCTGCTATGATCAATGTTGCAAATATATAGTCCCTTGTTGTCTTCTTTATTAGAAATTTGTGGTTGTTGGAGATCCTTTTTCCAAGTAATTAACAGATATTGGTAACAACGTCTAACATGGAATTCCTCAAAGATATGAGAAAATCTACATAAGTTTTCTGCTATTATGCAATAGCTACATTTATATAGCAAATTACCAATCCCCATCAAAATCTTTTTTTGGTACAGGATAGCTAGTATAACTTGAAGAATTTCTGCACAGAACATAGACAAAGCAGGATAAAAAACACCCAGAACAAGAATATTAGCCCCTATTGTTTTTGAGTAGGAATCCTTCATGCTATTATGCAATAGCTACATTTATATACCAAATTACCAATCCC